TCTCTGTTCTATGACCTCTCCTGCAATGAGTGTGTGGCTAGGGTTACTTAACTATGCATTAATTCCATCCCATTGAGTAGGCCCTAAGACCAATTAGACAGCAGTTGACTACCCTGAAGATAAAACTGCCACTATTGCACCACTGGGCCATTCACATTCGCTAAAAAACACTAGTTAAAATCACATTAAGATTCCATCTTACCCCAGTCAGGACATACAAAGAACTCACAAAAAAAGGTGTCAAGAGAGCTTAAGACACAATTAAAACACGTGCTATGGATCTGAACAGAGAATTCTCATAGAACTATAAATGAACATTTGAAAAAATGTTCAACATCCTTAGCCATCAGGGAAATGCAAATTAAAATGATTTTGAGAGTCCATTCACCTCAGCCAGAATGGCCGTCATCAAGAAATTAAATGATAACAAATGCTGAAAATGTGGGGGAAAGAGAACCCTTATTCACTGTTGGGGGGAATGCCAATGGGTACAGCCACTATGGAAATCCATGTGAAGGTTTCTCAAAAAGCTAAACGTAGGACTAACATGTGACCCATCCATACCACCCCTCAGTGCATGTCCAAAGGATTCTATACCCTAAGACAGACACCTGCACATCCAAGTTCATTGCAGACCTATCCACAATAGCTAGAAAGTGAAGACAGCCTAGATGTTCGTCAACTGATGAATGAATGATGAAAATCTGGGACATTTAACCAATGGGATTCTACTCAACACTAAAATGAAATTAAGAAATTTCTGTGAGAATGGGTAGAACTGGAAAATCTTCCATTGAGTGAGTTAAGGCAGTTACAGAAGGACAAATGCCTCCTGCTCTCTCCCTCATATGTGGACCCCAGCTTTAAGTTCTTAGATTTCCTTGTTTAAGTTGGAGTGCATGCTTATAGAGGCCAGAAATTAGGAAGGGAGCCATGAGAGGTGATGGCGAGAAAGGATGTGGAGAGAAGAGTAGAGTACATATGAAATTTGAGGGAGGCAGTAAGGATGGAAAGGGTTAAATGGGTACAGGGTGAAGGATATGGGGAAAAGGGTTGGGTCATCCAAAAACAAGGATTTAGTTTTAAAATATAGAAATTTACTATCTTATAAACTAACTAAAAGTATGATGATGATGATGATGATGGTGATGATGATGATAGTAACATAATAAAGAGTTTGAATTGAGGTGCCCTTTGTGGATGGACAATGCTGCTTCCAGAAGCTATAGGTTTATAAAGGAAAATCCCAGTTTCAGGAATAGGGTAGTTCCCCATGAGTTGCTGGCCAGGGAGCCTGCAAGGTCCCTAAAGCAATATGGACTATTACCATTGTTCTTCGTTGCCCAAACTAGACGGTAAGACCCTATTGCTGAGGATATCATTTTGGATACAAGACACAGAAAAATAGCCAGAACTGAGCTGGAAGCTTCCTCCCTGCCGACTAACATTCACAGTTCTAGAAGATGTGAATTCAAACTGTAGTAGGGGGAGGGGAGAGAAAAGTCATAAGTGATCTTATTTGGCTGTAGACCCTGTGTGCTATACTACTGAGTTGGTAGGCAAGACATACCCATTGGTGCCATAGTGGCAAGACTAATTTTGGGGTAACCAACTGTTTTCTGATTGGTTTTGAGGCCCCCTCAACTGGAGGGAATACATGCCTGATACAGTAAACCTGGTCAAAAGTCTATGGCTGGGGAGGTCACAGGCCCAAGGGGGAAATGTACTGCTGGTGTGTTGGAAACCATTGCCCTGTTTGAACTCTGCAGAAAGCATGTTTGGCTACATGTGCAAAGTCACCAGCAGCCAAGAATGTCTATGATGGCAGAGCCAGATAGAAGATGTACAGATACAAGTTCTGAAGTGCAGTGTCCCTTATGTTTAGCTCAGATAAAAAAAACTACCTTTTTTATACTGCTGTGTGAACATTTGCTCTATACCTTGAAAACAGCCCACATTTTCTCCTGCAGAGAAATGTCCTTTGATCTGCCTATACTTTGTTACTGAAAACCTGGTTAGAGCACCCATCCCTACAAATAAAAGCTTGGAAGTTAGAAGACTCAGTGTTCTTTGTTCTATGGAGCGGGAAGGTTCCTGATCCCCAGCTGTTTTTAAATATTAAATTGTCTTGTGTGTAATATTTGATTATTAGACACCATGGCATCCCTCTTCTGTGTCCACCTCTACCCAGCCATGCAGCACTGATGTTTTTTCTAAGTGGCCATATTGTCAAATTGCCTTCTAAATATTTATGTTTATGCCCATAGACTAGTGCTGCTCTCAACCTTGGTCAAAGACACTTCTTTTGTATTGGGCCAACAGTTAATGCAGACTCATAACCAGTCAAAATATTGAGAATGGATGATGTGAGTGCTTATCACCAAATGGGACATCTGTATTACTCCTCCTCAGTGCTCAGGGGATATTGTAGAAGAGGAAGCAAAAAGAATGCAGGAGCCAGAGGAAGGGCAGGAGTGCTATGAAACACTGTCTTCTGCACATGACATGACCACTGCAATTGTTCTAGTCTGCCTCTCTACTGCTGTGATAAAACTCCCTGACCAAAAACAACTTGGGGAAGAAAGGGTTTGTTTCAGCTTACAACTCCCAGGTCAGAATCTCTCACTGAGGGAAGTCAGGGCAGGAATCTGGCAGCAGGTGCTGAAGCATGGACCATGGAGGAATGCTGCTTACTGGCTTGCTCCCCCACAGGCTGTGCTCAGCCTGCTTTCTTACACAACCTAGGATCACTTGCCCAGGAGTGGCACCATCCACAATGGACTGGACCTTTCCACATCAACCACCAATTTAAAAAAATGCCTCACAGACATATGGCCACGGGTCAGTTCGATGGAGGCCATGCCTTAACTGAAGCTCCTCCTCCCAGCTGTGTCAAGTTGAAACCTGAAGTCAACCGTGAAAGCAATCAGGCAGACACAGCAACTGTGAAGACTGCACAAACAAAAAGAATAAAAGTAGGACAGGGAACTAGTTGATAAAAACGGGGTTGTCAGGAATGGCGGGGGGAGATGGGTAGTCATCAGGAGTGGGGGGAGAAGATAATGAGAGATTAATACAATTGTAATACATTATATACATGTAGAAAACTGTCAAAAGTTAAAAAAAAGGTGTAAAACAGGGAAAGCAACAAACGGCTGTAAATGTCACTGAGATGGAAAAAGCTGACCATATTTGACGCCTGACAGGCAACCACAATCTACAACTCCTCGTGGATAACTTGCTCTCAAGAAGGAAAAGACTTTTTTTATTTGATGAGCTATTGAATTTCTGCCCCAGTGAAAAGGTAAGGACAACAAAAATGAATGGACTAACGCTCTCATAGAATTGTTCATTTTCTAGTGAGATGGTAAATAATGCTCAATTAGAAGTATTAGCCAGATAGCAAGAAATTTCCAAGAAGGCTGCTCATGTCCATGCAGAATTTTCTTATCAAGTGAAGTCAACATTCAAGCCAGACCCTGAGGTGCAGAGTTCCTCTGCAAAGATGTAGGATGACAGCAGCAGAGGGCTGACCTGCCTGACTACAATCCCTCACCCAGAGGATGTCAGCATGTCCAGTGTAAAACATCCAGTGGGCTCATGTGAACTTGCCTGCTGGCTCATTTCTCTGTGGGCACTCACTAAACACCTACAACATACAAGTCATCACAGAAGGGATGGGCAGGAGACCCATGTAGGCACTAGCCGCTTCCCCTCGGGGCCCACAGGCTGCATGCAGTCAGGTGTAGCAGGCACTCACTATGAAGATGGTACCAACCAGGATTGCTGTAGCGCTCATGGGAGGACATGAGTCAGGGAAGGCCCCAGGGGTGGGACCAAGTGCAGAAGAAAATGCAGTAAGTTGCTAAAATGCTCAGACTTTCCTCCAGCAGTGTGCTTGTTACCTGCAGTTGATTTTTCCAGAAGTTCCTGGCTGAGGGGAGAAACCTTCGGATCTCCATTCAGTCTTGTCCCAAAATACACATTGGATCCACTGGAAATGTACTGTATAGTTCACTGTCCTAGCAAAATATTTGTTTGGAGGCCTCCTGTCATAATCAGCATCTAACAGGGATAAATATCCCACATTAGATCCTAAAAAAGAGAGAAAAATATAATAAATAAAACATACCATGTGAAGTTTGCAGGAGGCACAGTCCATCCCAAATGCCAACAGAAGAGCAGTCAGGGACAGAGAGACAGACAGGTAGGACTGAAAGGGCACATCAAATTCTGGACATTTCCTGCCCTTGGGCATCAGCAGTCAATCAAACACACCCAGACTGTCATTTGGGAGTGACAGAGTGCTGGGAAGGAAAACAGTTCTTAATGCTGCCAAGCTCCAAGTCCTCCTTGACAGGTCCCCCAACCCTGGCCAGGATGGAGAGTTCGGTTCCTCCTGAGCCACTCCTCAAGCCACTCTGCTTCTTCTAGTCCACAACCAGCATGTCAAACGCTATACCTCCAAGTCAGTACAGATGCAGGTCAAACACTACGCCTCCAAGTCTGGACAGACAGCAGGTCAAACACTACGCCTCCAAGTCTGGACAGACAGCAGGTCAAACACGACGCCTCCAAGTCTGGACAGACAGCAGGTCAAACACTACGCCTCCAAGTCTGGAGAGACAGCAGGTCAAACACTATGCCTCCAAGTCTGGAGAGACAGCAGGTCAAACACTACGCCTCCAAGTCTGAACAGACAGCAGGTCAAACACTACGCCTCCAATTCTGGACAGACAGCAGGTCAAACACTATACCTCCAAGTCTGGACACTCACGTAGGTTTAGCAGAGCATCTCCAGAGAACTTTTATGTTTAAACATAAAAGCATTTAACTTTCTGACAACACAGTGGACAGTGACAGGGATGGCAGAGTATGGAGCTCTGGTGAGAGAGGAAGGCTGTCTATCTGACGAGTTTGTATTCATGCTCAGATGCCGAGGAGCTCAGAAGGTGGGTGACTGTGACCAGTGATAGTCATGTATATAGAGATTAGAAATGCATGTGAAAATGTCTCAATGTCAATTGCTTTGGAATGAATTCTTCTGTATGAAAAAAAAATTAAAAAAATAATGATTAAAAAATAATAATTAGTAGATGTGAAAAACATTACCATTGAAATCTACCTGATGACTTTATATCCATGCTCAGATGCCTAGAAGCTCAGAAAGTAACCAACTGTGACTAGTAATAATCAGATATTTAGAGATTAGAAATGCATGTGCAAACATCCAATGTCAATTGCATTGAAAAAGAATTTTTCTGTATGAAACTGTGTATTTTAATAATGAAATGGAGATCTTTTTAAAGGTTAAAACGTCATTTAATTTATGTCTTATAGGGTTTATACTGAGTACAATATTGTATAACTGTAATAATTCAACTGTAAACCTAAAAATTTACAGCCAATTTTGAAAGAGATGCATCCTACCTCAGGAAACCGTTATTGAATATGTCAATTGTGTTGTAATGATATGCTTCTTCTAAGTATGTTGTTATTAAATAAATCATTTTTAAAAATTAAAAAAAAAGGATTTAACTTTCCTCTTATTTAAAATGTTCTCCTAAGACTTTTTACTGAATTGTATTAGGACAATTAGATACTAGTTGTTTGTAAAAATATGAACTTGCTGGGAAGATAGCTCAGTGGGTAAGAGCACTTGCTGTGCAAGCATAGGGACCTGACTTCAAATCCACAAAAGCTGCATAAAAAGGTTGACGTGCTCACACACTTGCTCGAAACTCCGGTGCTATGGAAGAGTGGAGACAAGATCATCACTGGGCTTGCTGGCCACAAGTTTAGTTCCAGATTCATTGAGAGAGCCTGCTCAATGGAAGGAGGTGGAAAGTGACAGAGCAGGACACCTGGCACCTTCCTCCTGCCTTTGCTCATGTATGGGCATGTGCATCTGCCCACTCATCATATATATACATCACACATACCACACACCTACACTGTACATACTCTCACACACAGTGAATAAATATAAATATAAATACATTAAATGAGATTGGATCATTCCTCATACCATATGCAATAATAAATACCAATTGATCAGAGCTCTAAATGCTAAAACTGTACCATTGCCAAGAAACACATAAATGACTTCTCTTAGAACTTAGAGATAAGGAATTAATTTCTAACATGGCCTCAAATCTAAGAGTCATATAAAAAAGTTGATAAATTTTGCTATTAACATATTTTAAGCCAGGGAGCTGGAGAGATGGCTCAGCAGTTAAGAGTACTGGTTGCTCTTGCAGAAGAGCCAGGTTCAAGTCCATGAACCCACAAGGTGGCTAACAACTGTCTGTAATTCCAGTTCCAGGGGATCCAATGCCCTCTTCTGTCCTACTTGGGCATTGCATGACACAAGTGTAGTTACATATATGGAGGCATAACATTCATACACATTAAATAAATAAATAAATAAATAAACTTTTTTAAATGTTTTAAAATTTTTTTAATGTTTTAAGTTAGTAGTGGTGGTGTGCACCCTTAATCCCAACAGTTGAGAGGTGGAGGCAGGTGGATCTCTGTGAGTTCAGGCCAAAATACAGATTGATAAAGCAAGTTCCAGGTCAGCCAGGGCTGCATAGTGAAACCTTGTCTCAAAAAAAATAAACAACCGAAACAAAAAACACAACAACAACAACAACAACAAAACACTGAACCAACCAAGCAGCTAAGGAACAACAAATAAAATATTTTACAAGACAAAAAAAATCAGTAAAAAATAAAATATAGCTTACTTGTAACTATAAGAAAGTATGTTCAAGCCGAGCATGGTGGTATACACCTGTAATTGTAGTACCCAGAAGGCAGAAGAAGAAGGCTCTCTGAGAGTCTGAGACCAGGTTAGTCTATATAGCAAGTTCTAGGCTAGCCATGGCTACATAATGAGACCCTGTCTCAAAAATAACTACTAAAATGACAAAATGTTCAACTTTTATATAGAAATGTAACAAGCCATCTAACATACATAGAGCTCTTAAAAATCAAGAAAAAAACCAAACTCTGGAAAAGTAGGTTTATAGTATATATGGGCACTTTATAGAAAAAAATGAATACCTATAAGACATGAAAATGCAATTCATATGAAATACATATTAAAACTGCTGTTCTTCAATAACTCAGTGGCAAAATTCATTAAGTTGAAAATAGTTTGTGGCAAAGCTGTGAGAAAAAGGCAAGAGAGGAATTCAGAAGACTTACCAGGCCATGAGGAATTTATCTTGACAATGAACTTTTCTCCCCAAATATAACAGTGTGTATGCACACCTCCTATGCACATTCCCAGAAGACTGGTGAGGGAACCATGATTTATGCAGTAGGAAAAGATGGTACAGATATTGATGTATGGATACGTGTGGAATGAATGAAAACAGTGCAAAAGAGTGCAAGGAACAGAGGGAAACAGTATTTATGCATATGTATGTGAATATGTGGGGTCGCTCCCTCTCCTCGTGGGTCGTTGGCCACCACTCCACGAGATCAAAGGGAGCAGAAGCAATGAGCGGGGTCAGGATGGCCAGTGAGCACTGACGGAAGAAAGCCCTTCAGGGGAGGCAGGTTCAGCGATGCAAACAGCTCCAGACTCAGTGAAACAGCTCCAGATTCAGTGAAACAGCTCTGTTTATTTAGTGGGGATTAGGGAAAATATAGTGTGGAGGCAGTAGCCAATGCTTCAGCTGATAGGTGCTCATAATATGCTTTATTTACATGTGACAGTAGGCTCCTAGCATCCAACTACCGGGCAATGCCTTATTATCATATAGAAAAAATCTGGAGGTAGTTTTTTTACTCCAGGTAACTATGCCAAAGGTCATGTTCCAAATAAGGTCAGGCATCCTTGCTTGGTGTCACTTTCCAGGTAAGTCAGGCAGAGAGTAGGAGGCCCCCTGCTGAGAAGGGGAGTCCTTCCATATAGCACCAAGCCCCTTAGAGCTATCTGGACATGAAGGACTACAACCCTAGCAGCAGGGTTCCCCAACATGTATGTACTTATTTCCCCCAAAAGAAACACTGGAAAATAAACAAGGAGTTAATGAAAATAATTGTCAACAAGAGATAGTTTGAAAAAGTGGCATGGTAAGAGTGCTGAAGGCAGGACTTAGACCTGAATAGTCACATCTTTTAAAAAATATTTTATTATTATTATTTTATGTGTATGAGTGTATTGCCTGCATGTATGTGAGTGCACATGTGTAGTGGAATGTCACAGAGGTCACAAGACGGCATTGGAATCCCCTAGAACTGGAGTTAAGGACGGTTGGTAGCCATCATGTGGGTGCTAGGAATTGAACCCGGGTCCTCTGCAAGAGCAGTCAGTGCTCTTAACTGCTGAGGTATCTTTCCAGCCCCTGAATGGATACACCTTTAAATATGACTTAGACATTTCATATATAAGAATATCTCACATATTCAAAACCAAAAGTAAATAAAAATAAATGGACAAAGACCTCAAATTAAATACATGAAGAAAAAATTAGTGAACCACACTACATAAACCTGATGAAAAAAACAACACAGAGAAAAGAATTAATTCAAATACTGTTTGTGTGTGCGCTCTATGCAATAGTTGAAAAGAAAGGCAAAGGCCGGGCATGGTGGCGCACGTCTTTAATCCCAGCACTTGGGAGGCAGAGATAGGCAGATCTCTGGGAGTTCAAGGCCAGTCTGGTCTACATAGTGAGTTCCAGGACAGCTGGGGCTACAGGGAGACCCCAAAAAAAAAAAAAAAAAAAAAAAAAAAAAAAAAAAAAAAAAAACACAGTAGAAAGAAGGACTGAACTCTATCTGGTGGGTTTCCTGTTGGTAGGGTACAGGTGCTTTGTACACCTGGTAGGATAGAACAAAATGTGTCCTCAGTGATGCTACTGGGCTCTAGAGTTCTCAGTGAAAATGGGGCTCCCAGTGTGCAATGGGAGAAAGTGAGAAGGATTCCCAAGGCTGGTTTTGAAATCTTTAAACCTCTTTGCATTTTGAAGTTCATTTTCCACACATGTGCACACAGAATTATCTCAGTGATGCTCTTATAGCAACAAGCACATCTGGTGGCCAAGTTCTGTATTTTAAACGTTGTTTCTTATGAAGGA